GGAGGAGGAGGAGGAGGGGGAGGAAGAGGTGGGGAGCCAAACACCGACACAACAATGAACGACGGCGGCGTAGTGGTCCCCCTCCAACCATGGGTGCATGATGAGTACACCGTTGCTGACAGCGTAGCTCGTTGGTGAGCAAGTCGACATTGCGGGCGCCGTGGCCATCATTGTCGTCCCGTGGGCGGTAGCGGAGCAACCCACCGCTGAGGCCCAAGTCGTAGCCAAGTGTCGGGTATCGCCACCGCCGCTTATTGTTGTGAATCTCGACACTGACGATGACGATAGTGAGAGGCGACCGAAGATGCGTAGGGGCACACACGAAGGTGAGGCTACAGTCTCAGGCGGTCCATCGGTTATAAACCTAGGTTGTAACCCTGACTATTGTTTCTTTTGGCGTAAATGTACCTTGTCTTAGGTTTAATTTATGTCTAAAATCAATTGTTATCAACTTTTATTATGAGCTATGACATTGTGTTACGAACTACTATGTATAAGTATGCACTCTATGGTTTTAATCTAGTTTGAAATTTGAGTTCCGGATGAGATGGTTGTGCATAATTTGAATTTGAGGAGATAAATTTGAGGGTTCGGTTGGCTCCTCATCATTTTTAGCACGTCGTTTTTTAGATGAACTCGTTGTATTTGAGAAGTTAAGCTTCAAGAACAAATTTGAGGGGCAATATTTTGATGGTTGGATTAGAATTGATCTAACTAATCATGTGATTTAGACGAGTCGCTTAAGCCGAGGGGCACAAACCACACAGGGTAAATTTGACAAATTTAACCTGTGGACGAAATCAAATCACAGAATGAACTGTCCGTAAAACTATTTCACGCGGTTGACCTTTTTGTGTAACGTCCGACACGAAGGCGCCACACTACACTGTGCAACGCCTCACAGATAGACGCTACACGCTTGGTCAGCGTTGCACCCCAGACTACCTAAAAATTGCTAAGTCAATGTGCAGAGCCTAAAAGCTAGGCGCTGCACTAGTGGTTGCACTACAAAATGAAGCAACCACTAGTGCAACGTCTAGAAGCTAGGCGCTACACTATATAGTGTGGCGCCTAGCTCTCAAGCGCTGCACACTGACTTGGTAATTTTCAGATCACACGGGTGCGACGCTGGCCAGACGTGTAGCGCCTATCAATTAGGCGTTGCACAGTGTAATGTGGCGCCTTCGTGTCGGGCGTCACACAAAAATGTCAGCCACGTGAAATAGTTTCACGGGCAGTTTATTCTGTGATTTGATTTCGTTCATAGGTCAAATTTGTAAATTTTGCCACCACACAGACCAAACGACAAGTGAGGTGGTGCTATGCAATGCCCGACCGGTCGATGAGCCTGCACCCTTATCCACTCTGCGCCATTACGACTGGCCATCGTGGCTTGGTTGGTTTGTCCCGGCACCGGCAGGATCCAGGTCTGCTAGCGACCTCTGCCGTCAACTGAAATGAAATTCGACAGCAATAACGCCACGCCAGGAAACGGCGGCGAGGCCAACGATGCTTGCTGTCGCGGCTAGCTGGGCGGCGCCGGTCGGCCGAGATGGCAGTCGCCGGCCACGCGCCAGCTAGTTTTTCAGTCCGTCCGACCCGAGGTCGGTCGCTCCTTGATTCGCACGGTCAATGCGATCAATTAGCTCCTTTCGGCAGTGTACTTCCCCCGGAGTAGTGTAGATTATTTTAGGATCGCCCCGGTCCTGTCCCGGCGCGGGCGAGGTCCCCGAGCTTTGTATAAATGCGGGCCGGCCGGCGCCATAACTTCCTCAGCTCCTCCGCATCGCCTAGCTCTCCTCTCTGGCAAGCTAGCGAGCTAGCCCCGCGGGCGTGCCGAGCGTCCATCAAGAAGATAGACGTGCGGCACGGGCGCGGTGACCGGCCGGTTGGGATAGCCGACGATGCTGCAGGCGGCCAGGTACCTGCTGGGCTCCCCGGGCGCCAGCGGGTTCGGCTCCAAGTCCACCGCCGAGGAGGTCACGGCCGCCTGCCCGGACCTCGGCTCGCTCACCGCCATCATCACCGGCGCCACGTCGGGGATCGGGGCGGAGACGGCGCGGGTGCTGGCCAAGCGCGGGGCGAGGGTGGTCATCCCGGCGCGGAGCGTCAAGGCGGCCGAGGACATGCGCGCGCGCATCCTGGCCGAGTGCCCCGGCGCCGACGTCCTCGTGCTGCACCTCGACCTCAGCTCGCTCGCCTCTGTGCGCGCCTTCGCCAGTCGCTTCCTCTCCCTCGGCCTGCCGCTCCACCTCCTCATCAACAACGCCGGCAAGTTCTCGCACGGCCAGCTCGCGCTGTCCGAGGACGGCGTCGAGATGACCTTCGCCACCAACTACCTTGGCCATTTCCTGCTGACGAAGCTGCTGCTGGGGAGGATGGTGGAGACGGCGGCCGCCACGGGCGTGCAGGGAAGGATCGTGAACGTGTCGTCCAGCGTGCACGGCTGGTTCTCCGGCGACTGGGCCGACTACCTCCAGCTCGTCACCCGCCGCAAGATGTAAGCATCGCATCTTTCATCCCTGCTTCACCTAACGCTCATTGTTTGGCCATTGTTTAGCCGCCGCTGCTCCTGTTTGTAATTAACCTTGGCATGTGCATGTGCACGTACGTGCGTCCAGACCCTACGACGCGACGCAGGCCTACGCGGTGTCCAAGCTCGCCAATGTGCTGCACACCAAGGAGCTCGCCGCCCGCCTCCAGGAGATGGGCGCGGACGTGACGGTGAACTGCGTGCACCCGGGCATCGTCAGGACACGCCTCAACCGCGACCGCGAGGGCCTCGTCACAGATCTCGTCTTCGTGCTGCTCTCCAAGCTGCTCAAGACCATCCCACAGGTGACGATTAATCTACGGTGCCGCCCACCTCATCTCCCTCTAATTAATCCCGGCCCTAGCTAGCTCTATGTGTCGGGCGGGGCCCGAGCCATGCATACGTCCCTGTTCTGCGCCTAGCCCCGCCTGCCGGCGCCGCGCCGCGCCGGAGGGCAAGGCTTTGCCTGCTTTTTCGCAGTTAATGCCCCGCCGCTTCTTACTGACGCACCCTATGGCGTGCAGGCTGCGGCGACCACGTGCTACGCGGCGGTGCACCCGAGGCTGGCCGGCGTGTCCGGCCGCTACTTGGCCGACTGCAACGAGGCGCTGCCGTCGCCGGCCGCCGCAAGCCGCCGCGAGGCCGCGCGGCTCTGGCAGGCGTCGGAGGACATGATCTGCGCCTCAAGCAGTCAACCGGACAGGAAGATCTGCGCCTCAAGCAGTCAACCGGACAGGAACATCTGATGAGTATCCGACTAGTTGGTGTCCATCAACCGTGTAAACATATTCCTCGCTCGGTTCGTTCTGCATCAAGCCAGGGTGTCACATGCATATATACATATTTTAGTAGTAGCAGTAGCCAATTAGTGATCGTGTTTCTGTCAGATCCATGTGTATTATACCATATACTAGTAGACTAGAGGTTGATTGACTTGGTGGTCGGTGTAGACTGTACTACTCCTGTATTTTGTCAGTGAGATTCCGATGTGCATATATGTCCTGTAGCAGCCTGCGCTGTTGGTGTCAGGGAAGTGAGAGAGCCACAGTGCCGCGCGCATGCACGCACGCACGCTCTGGAAGTAGTACGAGATGGCGATGGTGCTGTGCGTGCATGCATGGGCGAACAGAACGGAGCGCCCGAACAGAACCGGGCGGTCCATATGCGCCCGATGCTTTGGACACGGGAGGGGCTACGCTCGTACGCATCGACGGCCGCATGATTGCGCTCGTGGGCTTTCTCCCTTGGCTCGGCTGCTTCCCTGTCTTCGGATGATTGTTGACGGAAATTTATGGTCCTCTTTGATTCGCAGGACCGTGAAAACACATTTAGAGAAGAACGCAGAATTGGAATTTCATGTCCATTTGGTTTCTATATAATTTATGTTAGTTTAATTGCATTACAGGAAAACAAGCGAATTTTTGCAAGAGGTTTCGGGTACATGTTAGATTTTGTATGAAATGTAGTACAAATGAATTCTAAGAACAAAATCATACGGGATTCAAGCCGACGAATCAAATGGCCAACATAATTTTTTTACCAAGGATTATAATCCTCCTAAATTCCTATGGAAACCCGTTGAATCGAAGGAAGCCTAAGAATTTCAAGGCAGCTGCGGGAGGGATATATATTGGCCATGATAAGAGCTTAAACAATTGGATAGTAAAAATCATCGGTGTGAAAAGAGCTGGAAGGAGGAATTTCAGCCTTTGTGTACAAAAGTTAGATGGTGGACAATTTGGATCGTGGTTTGACTCCTCTTTTTCTTACACAAATATTACGTCTCCAATGGCCCAATATTTACACAATGAAGGCAGTTATGGAGGAGAGAGGGGGGGGGGGGCATATGTAGTGCACCGGTCGAATTGGTGCACCGGATGCTCCGGTGGCTTTTCAACCATTAGATGAAAAGGCAATGGGTCAGATCTGGTCACAAGTTGGACCATGCCATTTTTACAGAAACAACCTTATAGTTTATCACATTTGACCCTCACTCTTCCATCAATAAATCTGTGGGTTTAATTTTTTAACCCTAACACAGAATGGTCATGTATTTTGAATTGAATGTTCGATTTCAGATCCGTTGTGACTGTCATATTTGTTTTGATGTGATCTTTGAAACAAGATCAATGTTGAATATGTTTTTGATTATTATTTTTTTGGCTTTTTGAAACTTGACACGGAACTTATCTATTGATGGCAAAAACATATGTGCGGGACATGCATGTGGAGGGAGAGGCAGTGTTACAAATTATAAAATAGATTTAAGTTTCAATAAAAAAACTTCTTGAATATTATGGTTAGGTTTGATAATAAACGAACATTAATTTTGAAAAATATATTTAAATCTTGTTTCAAACATATTTTTGAAACAAAAAATGTGGTCGAAGGTGCACCGGATGCTCCGGTGGCTTTTCAACCATTAGATGAAAAGGCAATGGGTCAGATCTGGTCACAAGTTGGACCATGCCATTTTTACAGAAACAACCTTATAGTTTATCGCATTTGACCCTCACTCTTCCATCAATAAATCTGTGGGTTTATTTTTTAACCCTAACACAAAAATGGTCATGTATTTTGAATCGAATGTTCGATTTCTGATCCGTTGTGACTGTCATATTTGTTTTGATGTGATCTTTGAAACAAGATCAATGTTGAATATGTTTTTGATTTTTTTTTGGCTTTTTGAAACTTGACCCGGAACTTATCTATTCATGGCAAAAACATATGTGCGGGACATGCATGTGGAGGGAGAGGCAGTGTTACAAATTATAAAATAGATTTAAGTTTCAATAAAAAAACTTTTTGAATATTATGGTTAGGTTTGATAATAAACAAACATTAATTTTGAAAAATATATTTAAATCTTGTTTCAAACATATTTTTGAAACAAAAAATGTGATCGAAGAAAAACTGCATTAGGATGTATGGATCAACATCTGACCATGTTTATGTTAAATGAAATAAATAAAAAATAGTGATTCAATGATGGAAGAGAACCCCACATTAAAAAATGCGATGGAGTGAGGTAAGGGTGGAGTGCGGGATGATTCTAGTATATCATGAGGTCTGTCTTGCAAATGTCCCATCAATCTATCTTTCAACGTGCTCTCATCCCTCAGTTTCTTATTCAATGGCTCATATATGACCGGTGCATTCGGTGCACCAGTTGAAC